TGATCCTCAGCTCGATGCTCTTGTTGGAAGGTATATCTTCTCATCTTTAGCATGGAACCGGAACGTAAACTTAGATGATCTTAGATGTGCGTGAACATTCTACTGCCATAACACAATAAAGTTATAAGGGGCTTGGTAGGGCTTTGGGGTATCAATCATTATGGTTGAAAGAATAAAACAGTGGCTTGAGGCCTCTGGTTCCTTTGTAACCAAAAAAATGAAATACATTGCTTTGTCTGTCTTTTCATTAGTTGTTTCTGGCATGATAATCACATGGCATCCTTCCTGCTTTCGAATTCTGATTCAGGCACAGCAGGAAACCGTGGTCAAGATTTATCAATGTGGATAATCAACATCTGGTTTCTCCAGAGGTAATTTCTTTTTCTTTTTCTTTTAATTTTTCTTCTTCTCCTTCTTCTTCTTCTTCTCCCCCAGAAATCAACTTTTAGAAGATTTACCTTATATTCATGTATTTGTCATTCCTTACTAGTGATTCTTTGGTCTTTTTCGTGATGTCTAGGCCATTGATTTTCTAGATAAGCTTCTTCAATACGATCACCAGGAAAGGCTTACAGCAGGAGAAGCAATGGTATTATTTAAGATTTAGCAGCTGTTTCTTTTTCCCTTACTTGTGTTTAATATATATGTCTACATACACAATTGTTTAGATACAAAACCTTAAGTGTCGTAATAAGATGCATATTATGTTCGATGGTTAAGCACGAAATAGAATTTTCACTGTTGGGTTCCAATATTCTATGTTTCAGGCACATCCATATTTCTCCCAAGTGAGAAGTGCAGAAAATAGCCGGATGCGGACTCAGTAACACTAGACTCCCGCAGAATCTTTTGGTAAACAAGCTTGTATACCCTTTTTCTTTGGCTGTAGCCTGTGTATGATCACAAACAAAAAAAATATTTACCTAGCTTAGGCTGTTCATTGCATCCATTTTTTCTGATATATATATTTTTTAAATGCTGGTATTCTTTCTTCTCTCCTCTGATTGCGTAATTGTAATTTTTACTAATTTCGATTTAGCAATTAATCAGAATGCAATGCAACAGTATTTCATTTGTCTCAAATTCTTTTTGCTTTGTTTTGCATATTTTAGATTCTGGATTATGCTGATCCATATTCAAGTTTCAAATACAATCTTCGATTTAACAAACATGCACATTTATAACATATTCGAGAAAAGCTTTAGCTAATTAAAATCCAAGAGTCTAGGAAGGACTATGCAGAAGAAGATTCGAGAGATGAAGCCTCAAACACATTACTACAGGTCCTTCTCACTTAGGATTGTTTTTCTCATTTCTGAAGGTGAGGGAAACATGTATTAACATCAGATTTGGGATGTTTTGCTTCTGCATGCTCCCTGCACTTCACCTCAGACGTGGTGCAAATAAAAACCTGCATGCACACCTTGCACTGCAATCATCAACCACCATCTTGTATCAGAAACAAAGCAAGTGCTCAAAGTACCAGAAATTTTTATGCCAAGTAGCTTCATCTACAAGTTCATTCTCTTACGACAATCTCACAGTCAAAAACAAAAAAAAGGAGCTAGAAAGAAGACTTTACCTGTATTGTCATTGATTTCTTGTTTGACTCAAGCTGGCTTCCTGCTCACCCAAAGATGCACAAATTAATCACCAACTTATAAGTTCCCCTGTTTACAAAACTATATATATGTCTCTGTTTAGTGGCTTAGAACTTAGAATTTCGAGTACCTTTGGCAGCAGCTTTTTGCTTCTCCATGTTCCTCTGGCGAGCCATCTTGGACTTCTGACCATTGCCGCCTCCCATTGCTTGTCCTTCTTCTCCGAGTACTTGCAGGACAGGTTTGCTACTAGTAGCAGACAGAAGAAGCACAAGGCTTTAAGAATGGGCAAGAAATAGAGATGATGACGAGGTACATTATATAGATCACTCTCATCAATTAGGTATTGTTGGATCCAGGAAAGAAACCACACATATCCGAGGGCTACCAAGAAACTTCCCCTTGAGCCTTGAGGCCAATGAGGGCAGCTATAGATTGAGACATCAACACACAAACCACAGACCACACCAATGTGAAACAAACTTCTTTTTATTTTTAATTTTCCACCCAGGTCTATAAGATGTTTCATTTAGATTGACCCAACCAAACAAATTAATGGATGCCACAAATAGTGGTATGCTCAGTAGTGATACTTGTACAGCTGGAGCTCACAACAATTTGTGGTGGCGATATACTTGGTAGTAGATAAAATAGTATTGTCTATAAGTGGTGGACCCATGCTACCCAATACGGTGAAGCATCCATTGGAGCCTGCACAAGGCAATGCACACTACTCTTTTTCTTCTGTCAAGAGTCACAGTTAGGTGGTAGTTTGAAAGCTACAACAATAAATTCGAGGCCCAATTATGTTTTGCTCCCCTAGTTTTCTTTTGAATGATAGAAAAACGAGGATTTGAACTTGGATTTTTTTTATAAAAATATTTGATTGATAAATATCAGTATATATAACTAGTTGATTTTGGTTATTATAGTTTTAACAATATTTGACTTTGTAGTTTCAATTTTCGGTATTTGTATGTTTTCTATTTTAGAATTCTTCAACTGTAACAACTTTCTATTGTGAGACATTTCTTCACATTCTCACACAAATAAATTATAAATAGAAAAATGCCCATTTACACTAGAGTTTAATTTCTCTCCTCATATATTAGAGTAGTTTAGAATGTGGCTTTGTCAAAAAAATAGAAGATCGCCCAATTTATATGGATGGAAATAATAATTAACCCTAAATTGAATATACAATAAAAAAAGGTACCAAAACAAGAGTCATTCTATAATTAGGGCCTTATATATGGCCTTTAGGTGAGGTCCTATCTCTTAATCCTTGGATCATGCTAACCAAATTGATCCAATGGCTAGCCAATTTGATCTAAGAGTTAAGGCCATATATAAGGTCTTAACTATAGAATCTTAACCAAAACAATCAATCACCCATTTGTGGGTTTTTGCACGAAATTATATACTCCTCATGTGTACCTTCATATTAGCAACATGATCATTTCATTAAAACTTAAGTCAAGTTACTATTCAAATAACTCATACGGCTAATATGAAAGTCCACATCAATGGTCCATATATGACACCCTCACCATAGAATGACTCGGGTTTTTGCTTACTTGGTCTTATTTGGAGGCCCAAACTAGCTCTCTTGACAAGAGAAGGCCCAATTTGGGAAGCCCAATAGAGTGACATTGACAATATGTCAACTGATTGGCTGATTCCTTGAGTCCAAAAATAAAAGTTCCAAAAAGTGAAAAGAATCCCAAAAAAGGAACCCGGATTCGTTGAGTGGGTTTCTTCCAAAGTCCAAAGTCCACGAAGCTGACCAGGACGTGCAAAAATCAAAACCCGCAATGCACATGACTCCATCTACCGTCATTAAAACCTCAAACACCAACCAATCAATCACCGCCGTCACCAAATTTAATATGGTGGAGATACAAAATGGTGAAATCAGAAAATGGTAATTTGAACCTAAATATCTAACACCATTAACATGAAAATATAAATGTAAATTGCTAGATTGGGGTTGAGAAAAACAAGAATACAATGTCAGGCATAAATCAATTGCATTATACTTGAACTATGGGAATTATTATTTTGCCCAAAAGGTGTAAATTGAACTATGGGAACAAATGTTGTTAGAGATAAGATATTACTGAGAAATATGAGGTTTCATGTAAAGTTAGATTAGAAACAGAGGGCCTATTCATGTCGTTGTTGCTTCTTCTTATATACGTCGGCAATGTGCATGACAAAAGCTATAATCACATTAGCAACATACATTTTAATGATCTGCAATGTTTTTCAGATACTTTGTGTTCTGTTTTACCTTCTTGACAGATGTTGAACTAGAGTGAGAAAAAGTAACCAAATGCAGCAAATGATATATTCAAATGTTTCATGGGATTGGATTGTTACAATTCCAACTAGTTTACAGTTTGCCATATGCTTTTAAATGGTCCTGCTCATTGCTTTTAATTATCTTTATGACTTATCCCTTGTCTTGCTTTTCTTATCTTGTATTCTCCCTAGTTTTTCATAAATCGTGGCCTCTCCACATCAATGTTTTTTTAGCATATGAAAAATATAGAATGTAACATCTGAGCTTTCTAACCTCATTACTTAGCATTACGTTGAAAGAGTCTTCAGTCTCCACCCTATGTCCACCCTTGACATATCGCATATAACTTGGTATAGTGTAAAAATTTCAGGCCACTTGATGACAGCGTTGGTCTATATCTTGACCTTTCTAACCTCAGGTGCTACTATCCTGGGTTTGATTAAATTTTCCAAAAAAGAAAAAAAAAAAAAGAGAAGAAGAATAAGTCACTTTTATTCAAAAAAGAAACAAAAAGACAGAACAAAATCAGAGGTTATGTTGTTAGGAGACCAGAACAACAGTGTGTCTTATATAACTAAATAGTAATGCTGTTCTGAAATTTGTACATGAATCTTAGAAAAACCTCTTCCTGATCCAGAAGACAGGGTAAAGGAAAATCAATTGGCTTCGAAGGATACCCCTCTTCTTCACAAAATCTCTGTTATTTCTTTCCCGCTTATGTTTGTTATGCATTCATAGATGTGATTTATCTTTTGTTTCTTGGCACTGTCATTTGGTTGTTGTTAAAGTTAAATTATTCACATATAGTTTTACAATGTTTTTTGGTTGTATTTTCTCTGCAATTTTTCCTTAATATATTAGGTTTCTAATCGTTGAATTTCTCATTGACCCTGGCATTACATGAGTTGTCATAGGAGTTGTCATGGGAGTTGTCGTAGTTATTGTCATAGGAGTTGTCATAGTTATTGTTGGGCACACAATTGGTGGCATGTATGGAATATTTGTCGTTCTGTCCTATCTCTGTGCTTAAGATAAACAGCACACCTGTACACAAACCAAGCTAAGTGTATCAGAAGAAGTAACTTCAATACTACTGATGCAAAGGGCAAATACTTTGATTTATTTCATAACAGAGTTACAGCATGGAAAATTAAAGAGCTACAGAATAGAAGTAGAGAGGTTTTATTTGTTTTTTTTTTCTTGTCCTCTAAGGCATTGCTGGAAAAGAGTTATCTGATTTTAGTAAAATCAGTGAAGATTTTCATGGACCTAATTCATCCTCTCATCATGACCATATCCTCCACCACCCCCACCTACCCCACCACCACCATAACCTGGGCCTGTGCCCGAGCCTCCACCAAACCCACCACCTCCTCCAACTCCATTACCAAATCCGCCACCGTTGCCACCATTACCACCATTACCACCATTACCACCATACCCAACACCACTTCCAAAGCCACCACTGCCATCACCGTAGCCTCCGCCTTTACCACCACCAGTGCCACCATTGCCTGTACCACTCCCACCACCACCAAAACCATAACCAGGCCCTGCCCCGTAACCATCAGCTGTCAGCCCTCGATAAGTAGCCTCTTCACCGTGCCAATTCTTTAACCCATTGTCCAAATCAAGTCTCTTGTCTCTGAGATCTATCAGAGACCTCCCTTCTCTGGTGGCTTGAACAGATACATAACTGAAAAGCCCCATAGCCAAGAAAATGAGACTCCATGAAACTGCATTACTCCTTGCCATGACTTCTCCTTCAGATTGCAACTTTACCTTCAAAAAGAGAAGAGATACTAGGTCAGTATTACAACAAAACGAGAGAAAGAGAGAGAGAGAGAGAGAGAGCACTACTCTGTTCTGTGACGTCTTTTAGTTTTCCTCGCTACCAATTCTGAAGGGACTTTGATGATCACTGTGGCTGAGAGAGAGAGAGAGAGAGAGAGAGAGAGGGAGGGGTTCTGTAGCGGAGGTCCTTAGATTTATAAGGTTGTTCTTGTTTCATAGGGTATGGGTTTCTAAGAGGTGCGCAGCAGATTGTTGGGGAAGGTAGCTTGCAAGGTTGGTGTGATTACATGACTCGTGCCAGTGAGTCTGGTATTGAGGGCGATTTGCATGACCACAAGGGTGTAAAGTTGCTGCGTCACCTTCGCTTGCACATTTATTGGGCTTAGTTTGCAATGGGCTCTTAGCCATTCAAATTATTTCCTAGAGTTCCAAAACCAACCAAGGGAACAAAGGCTTGGGATTTCATGTTCAATAACCAGGAAAGAAGGGGTAGAAGGCTAAGGACTGAGTGAGGAATGGGCCGGAGATTAAGATATGATAAAATTAGATACTGTTTTAAAAATAATAACTTGGCAGTAAAAATAAACAATGAGATTCAATTAGTTTCTTTCTAGAAAGAAAAAAAAAAAAAGGAAAAGTTTTCCTTAAAAATAAACAATAACTTGGTGTGCTCCTTGAATTTTTGCTCATATTTAACATTGAATTTTTAATATTTTCTGTTATTTGGAATTTAGCTGAGTTTGATGGTGTTGAGTGCAGAAATAGACAATAGAGAGAGAGAGAGAGAATAGATTAGCAGAGTAGATTAAAAGGAATCCAATCTGAATAATGTAGAATACGGCGGGAAACATAATTCACGGAGGAGGATTGCTGAATTTTTCTGAAAAAAAAAAGATATGAGTGATGGCCGACAGTTCTGACTCTGAGGGTCGTTTTGCGTTGAAAGTGAGGTATTAAATTCCTAAACCCCATTGAAATGCAAACTGACCAATCCTCTATTTCGTGGGCCCTATAGTTTGGGGAAACTTTAGTTAGATGTCAAATCCAACGTGTAGCCCAAGTGAGCTTGGAAAATACCACAAAAACCACTCCCAGCTGACTTGGCCTCCACATTAAATTTGACATCTCCTTGGAGAAACAAAGATGTTAGCTTTTATTTTGTCCACAAAATAAAAAAGATGTTAGCTTTTATAAAATACGGGCTGGTTGGTGGACATAGTGCCCTAAATTATGACAAACAAAGATGTTAGCTTTTAAAATATATTTTTAAAGCTAATGACAAAATCAAATCATGGGGCCTGAATTATGATAATTAGTCCTGTTATTTATTTTTTTAATACAAGTGATAGTCTAAATTATAAGAGAGGGAGTTTCTTACACATACATACACAATGGCGGACGCAAGATTGTGACCTCATAGGGTTATAGTGTAAAAGTCTCGAAATTTTTTTACAAAGAAAATAACACTAAAAACAGAAATATAGTACTTCCATTCATAATTCATGGCAAAATTAACAATACAAGCTACAATTTTCAATGACAAGTTTTCATATTTCGAAAATGTTGCATTATAGCTTCATTATCAACACAAGTAATTCTGCACTTGAACTACCCGGATTAGGCAAACTATCCATAGATACTTTTCTCTTAAAGTATCGTTCCATGATAATTCTACACATTAATTAATTTAATCAATCAATTATAATTTTTAAAATCCATTGTATACTCTAATCTAATATAAATAATAATATCAATCAATATATAACTCTAATGCAATTATCCAAATAACAAAATCAATCAATATCAAAATCATATCAAAAAATTATAATTCATAAAAAACACCACATATCAATCAATACAAATTCTAATCCAAATAAGAAATAAGTAAATCAATCAATATCATACCAATAAATTCTAAATTGTATCAATTTCATTAAAATGATAAATCCATAGCCCAAAATAATATATGTAAAGTAAAGGATTATCACTCACTTGGTGGTGGTGGTGTGATGGTTGCAGCATTGGGCAAGAGGTGGTCGGCGAAGTCGTGGAGTGGTTGGTTGTGGTGGTAAAGGTCCAAGGATTAGTTAGGGTTTTGAGAGAGGAGAGGGAAATTTGAAAATAATTTGGGTTTTGGACATTTGGAGGCTGCTGTAAGGTAAAAGGCAAGGGCGTTGTGTGTTTTTAAAAAAAAAAATTTAAATTAATTATTTTTTTTAATTTAAAAAAATCTTGCTCAAAACGATGCCGTTTTAAAAAAAAATTAACTCACCTGGACCGAAATAGTGTCGTTTTGGCCAAGCGCTTCTAAAAAAAATGGCCTCGCACGCACTGCGCAAGGCAACAACACACAAGCTCTTTTGCGCATTTCATCGAACAGGTGGTGTGCGCCTTAGGGTCGCACACCAACTAGCCTTGGGGTCGCCTGAGACCTTCACCACCATTTTTCTCGGCTACCATGGGGTCGCCTAACCCTATTTGTCCCTCTGTGCATCTGCCCTTACACATATACAACTGATGTCATGAGAGTTCTAACATGAATGCAAGGGAATGGACTCAGGGTCCTTACTAAAAGATCTAACCTTAAATATATATATAATTTAAATTTTGCCTGGTTGGTTTGAAAATCAAGTAAGAATGCCAATCAACAAGGTCATGGTCCCGTTATTTTAGCTGCCTTAGCGACAACAAATATAAATGTATATTCCTTTTAACTTTTATATAAATGATAATTTAGATTGTTCTAAATTAATTTAATATATGAAAAGGAGGATTCGAACTTTAATGTAAGGGAATGGACTCACGGTCCTTACTAAAAGGCCCACATATGCTATAATTGTATATTCTAAATCTTAACACTAATTACATGTTTTATTCACTTGCCTTTCCCTCCTTTTACATCATTCGATGGGGATAGACGCGTGGTGTAATTCACCCTCTCATTATTTGTCACATATGACATTGCATTTTATTATGATTAATTTAATATAATATGCATAAATTTAACCATATTATTTTCCTTCTTGATATGAAGGTTAATCATAAATAATATGTGTAAAACACATGATATATATTTTGATAAAATGCGATAAAATTTAATTAGATCAATAAGAATAAAGAGTGTAAAGGGAGCCAAATCCAGATTTGGAGGAGCTAAATATTGAAAAGGAGTTTGGATATACAGCTATAAATATTGATAGGTGTCCGTTCTAATCGGAAAAGACAATTCAGCATACATAAGATAAGCAATTAAACGAGAATTGACTTATTAAGACCCGCTTCAAATTATTTTAAGCGTCTTTGGTTGGGAGAAAATGACATTCGAGCGACAAATTTCACAATTGTTTTATGCATGCATGTGTCTGCTGCTTTCGGCCAGTAAGCTTGTTCTTTCATTATATTATATGGGCTATAATTTGAGATTATCATATTATTAAACTTGTAATTTTTAGATTAATAGAATGCATGTAGACGGCTTTATATATCTATATTGAAAGCATCCATAACATTTAGTGATGAATGATGGGACAATTGAAGCCGGCACGGCAAACAATCGAAACGAAAACGAGGGGCCACAAAGTAAGATTCCATAAGCAATTTAGATTGGTGATTCTTCAAGAACTCAAAAACCATAGCTTGCTTGCTTTGCATATAGAAAAATATAAATAAAAACATTGCATGATCTCTTTCACACCCACACACTCTCTGTTGCTTTCCCATCGCCAGTTTGCTAGCTTGAAATCATCATATTTTAAACTGATTAAACAAAGTTCACATAGCTTTCACATGATTTCTTCTTTCTTAAATCTTTTTTTTTTTTTTGGTCTGAACTTCTTTCTTAAATTTTCATATAATGGTATGTAAGTAAACTTTTTTTTTTATAAGCGATAGTCTAAATTGCAAGTCAATCTCCTTTTTCAATAGGCTAGACCCGTTGACGGTAAGTAAACTTAAAGATAAATAAACCTAAACAACAAAAAGATGGGAGATTCTAGAAGAAGAAGAAGGTGATTTCAATATTTTATGTGGGTAATCCAACCCTTAATCCAGGTTTACCAACTAATGAACTAACTACTTTTAAAAATGTGAAATGTTCTAAATAAAAACTCACCCACTGCTAAAAACAAAAGCAGTAGAAAGAATCAAACAGACGCTCGATCAATTATTAGTGGTAGCTGGTAGGGTCTCTTCCAGCTAATAGACTAGATGAATTTTAGCGCATGATATAAATACAGTACGTGCCTGTCGTTTTCTTCCACGATTTAATATTACAATAATAGCATTATCTAAAACTGATTCTTATGAATTACTGTTAATGCATAATGATGTTCTCACCTTGAGTTGTTTGATATATATATATATATATATATATAGTCTCATTTTATTGAGGGACACTCTTTAAAGTACTTTATGAATTTTTTTCGAACGATCCAAACTATTCATTTTTTAAGTACACATTCTTATATCATCTTTGTAAAAAATTAGACAAATCAGAAACCGTTTTCGACATCCAATTGTATCCTACAAAATCAATGAACACAGTGCTTCAAGAAAATACTAAAATTTCAATAACACCAAATCAGAAACAGTTTTCGACATCCAATTGTATCCTACAAAATCAATGAACACAGTGCTTCAAGAAAATACTAAAATTTCAATAACACAATTGAGTGGTCAAACAATATCGAATTCAAGTGATTTTTTGTACAGATGATCTTTAAATGATTATCTAAAATATACATGGTTTGGATTAGTGAAATACAAAGCGAAGTGAGCCCTACAAGGTTGTCCCTCTAAATAAGATACTTTGAGGGATCCTTTAATAAAAACTACATATATAAAGCAAAATGCAGAGAATGGTGAAACATTCAAAATACCAGAAAATGCCATTGGTTAATGCAAACATTAAGAATTGAAATTATCAATTAAATGAGGATAATATGATAAATTCACACTTTTTCATATTAAAAAAATTGAAAATGAAAAGAAAAATCAGATAATGGATCATCTTTTTATGGAATACAACTACCCGTTATCTTTTTAAATTCTAAAATAAATTTAAAATTTGAATATTGGGGGGCCACAAGCTTAAAACTATGGAATTTTTTATGCAATCTATACTATAGTCTTTGAACAATCAAAAAGATGAGAAGATGGTGGGGTGCCAGGCCATCTAAAGCCCATGAATAGCTCCGCCCCTACTAGTATATATATATTGTATACGCTATCTATCTCTACCATGCAATATGCATGGTCACATTCTACGGCCAATATCATTTCCTTATCCTATCCTATACTGACTAATTATTGCCACATTTTGGTATTTCTAAATTGTTTAATTATTGGTTTATGGCATGATCCTCATCCTAAGCAACCCAAAACAAATAAATGTTGATATAAAAGTGGAACTTCCACTAAAACCTCCGGATGAGGGTTGTGGAAGTGTAATCAGATCATAATCAAACGATAATGAGTATAAAATTAGGCAACTGATTTTTACACTCATCGTTTAGCCTCCCACACTTCTCTACGAGTGAATAAAGAATTGTTGATGACTCAATCTGCACCGCTAAAACGTGAGTGCCAAAACTACTACCCTAAAATTAATCACCGAAAATACACATTAAAGACGCGTTGTGGTTCTTTACTCAACTTTTTCCTAGGACCTTGTTTGTTTGTTGGTCACGATCAGTTTTTTCTTTCTTTCTTTTCTTGTGAAACACAATGATAGAAAGATGGTGTGATGTCCAAAAATTCACAATTAAATTTAGGGAACAAGTCCCTAGCAAACTGCCTTATCTTTATAAGAACCTGTAAAATAAAAGGAATGTTGACAGATTTAGTAAAAAATTTCCCATCCATATGAAAAATCATCGGGGGGGTGGGGGGTAGGCTTATGTAGCACCTTACCCTCAAGGCTTTTATACTACACTACATTAACAGTACATTGGTGAAATATTTGGATTTCAGTGAGAGTTTAATCTACTACAAAGACAACCAGAAAATAATTGAGGCACTGCATCATCAATGACCAAACCAGTCTGAAATCACTTTTTTTTTTCTTCTGCTTTTTCCTTTTTCCTTTAGGTGTTTGGGTGGCCCACATAATACCGCCAATTATGCAAGTCCAAATCCCTTTTCAGACCTGAATGAGAGAGCATAAGAATCAAATCTGCAATGAGAAGAGGTTGTTAGAAAAAAAGAGAAAAGGAAAAGAAAAGCTCAGGCCATATGATTGATTTTCCACCACTCAAGTAGAGAATATTTAAATAGGGGAGGGGTATCAATTGAATTAGAATCTCTCAGTGCTATGTGAACTTTCACTTCCATTATCACCGAATTTCCCAATACAGAACGTCACTAAGAGAAAGAGAAGTAAAAGAAAACCTCCCCTGTTCAGGCTTGCAGACAGAGAGAAGATGAAGGCATCCACTTTCATGCTTCTGCTAGCAGTCATGCTTCTGGCTATCTCACACATCTGTGTGGTAGCAGAGGACAGAGAACAACAAGTGAAGAAGACTTACATCATTCACATGGACAAGTCCCAAATGCCGGCAAGTTTTGAGGATGACCATTTCCAGTGGTATGACTCATCTTTGAAATCAGTGTCGAATTCGGCAGACATGCTTTACACCTACAGAACCATAATTCATGGCTTCTCCACAAGGCTGACTGCTGAGGAAGCTGAGCTGCTTGAAAAGCAGCCAGGAATTCTCTCTGTTCTACCTGAAAGGAAATACGAGCTTCATACAACTCGGACGCCAGAGTTCCTTGGATTGGGGAAAAACGAAGCCTTCTTGCCAGCATCAGATAAAGTGAGTGAGGTGATTGTTGGAGTCGTTGACACCGGTGTGTGGCCCGAGCTCAAGAGCTACGATGACACGGGTCTTGCGGCAGTACCAAGTAGCTGGAAAGGGTCGTGTGAGGTGGGAACAAACTTCAGTTCCTCAAGCTGCAACCGGAAACTCATTGGTGCCAGATATTTCTCAAAGGGGTATGAAGCAGCACTTGGACCCATCGACGAAAAGACAGAATCAAAATCACCAAGAGATGATGATGGCCATGGAACTCACACCTCATCCACTGCAGCCGGGTCTGCAGTTCCAGGAGCTAGCCTCTTCAGTTACGCTTCAGGGACAGCACGGGGGATGGCTCCACAAGCTCGAGTAGCCACATATAAGGCGTGCTGGCTCGGTGGTTGTTTCGGTTCTGATATCACAGCAGCAATGGACAAGGCTGTTGAAGATGGTGTCGACGTTTTATCTTTGTCTATTGGGGGATCACTGTCCGATTATTACAGAGACACTGTTGCCATCGGAGCTTTCTCTGCTGCAGCGCAAGGGATCCTTGTGTCATGTTCAGCTGGTAATGGTGGACCGGATTCTGGGAGCTTGTCCAATGTTGCGCCTTGGATAACCACAGTGGGTGCTGGAACATTGGACCGCGATTTCCCAGCTTTTGTTAGCCTCGGAAATGAAAAGAAATACAGAGGTATATCACTCTATAGGGGAACATCCTTATCTAGTGGATTACTTCCACTTGTATATGCTCGCAATGCAAGTACCTCCTCAAGTGGTGAGCTATGCAGTCCTGAAAGTTTGATACCTGCAAAGGTTGCCGGGAAAATTGTGGTATGTGATCGAGGGGGAACTCCTAGAGTCCAAAAGAGCTTGGTGGTCAAAAAGGCTGGTGGCTTAGGGATGATTTTGGCGAACACTGATACTTACGGAGAAGAACTTGTTGCAGATGCATATCTCTTGCCTACAGCAGCAGTTGGCCAGAAAGCTGGTGATGCAATAAAAAGCTATATTGCCTCAGGTTCTAATCCAACAGCCACAATTGCTCTGGGAGACACAGAGTTAGATGTGCAACCCTCACCAGTGGTGGCATCATTCAGCTCTAGAGGACCAAATCTCATCACTCCAGAAATACTCAAACCAGACTTAATAGCACCAGGAGTGAACATCCTTGCTGGGTGGACCGGTGCAGTTGGACCAACTGGACTTCCTGAAGACAAAAGGCGGGTCACCTTCAACATCATTTCAGGTACATCCATGTCATGTCCACATGTGAGTGGTTTGGCCGCCCTCGTCAAGGCAGCTCACCCAGAATGGAGCCCTGCTGCCATTAAGTCTGCACTCATGACCACATCCTATACAACTTACAAAACTGGGGAAACAATCAAAGATATAGCAACTGGAAATCCTGCAACACCGTTCGATTATGGTGCTGGGCATGTGGACCCAGTGGCAGCCCTTGACCCTGGCCTTGTCTATGATGCTGCTGTCGAGGACTACCTAAGCTTCCTCTGTGCCTTGAATTATACCACAAACCAGATCAAGCAAACCACTCATAGAGACTTCACCTGCGATTCAAGCAAGAAATACAGCCTTGGAGATTTAAATTACCCATCTTTTGCTGTTCCTCTAGAAACAGCTTCAGGCAAAAGGGGTGGTTCTGGAGCTTCAACCACTGTAAAATACACACGGACGCTGACCAATGTGGGTACCCCGGCAAAATACAAGGTATCAGTGTCTTCACAGACACCATCAGTGAAGATCACGGTTGAACCAGAATCACTGAGTTTCAGTCAAGCATACGAGAAGAAAACTTATACTGTGACTTTTGTTGCTAGTTCTTCACCATCCGGTACAACTAGCTTTGGTCGGCTGGAATGGTCTGATGGGAAACACACAGTAGGTAGTCCTATTGCTTTCAGCTGGGAATAATTTTAACAGCATTGAAGAACTGATCTAACTCCAGATCAGAATTGTATGGTTCCTGCAAAAAAAAAAAAACCAAGTGTATATCTCTTAGTATGTTGTGAACTTGTCCTGTAGCTCTCTGGTATCCTAAGAACTGAGCACATATAGCCAGTTGATGTGTTTCTTTTTTCCACTCTTGAAATTAAAAGGGAATGCAAAGATTGAAAATTAATTGTACAGGAAACTGTATAGACATGGGGCTTTGAAAAGGATTCCAAGTTGTAATCATATATGATATATAAGTTATAACTAAAGCTAAGATGATCTTATCTTCATTTTCTTGGCCATTGAGGCCTTCTTTTCTCTTCTCTTTCTTCGGACCCAAAAAACAAAAAACACAAGGACTCATGATTGCCATGAATTCATAATCTTTCATCAATGAGTTCAACAATTTTGCATGATTTGATATTGGAGCAAAGCCAGAACAGTACGTTATACATGAGTTGCTCTACAATACACACCACTTGATATCAGTCCTTCTAACCTACAATTATTATCAACAAAAGCACTGGTGGTTGCCTTTTCTTACCATCACCCAGAAGAAAGCTGTTATTTTGTTTCCATTTGTCCTCAAATACATAAAACCAAAACCTAAGGAAACAAAATTAATCAAAACTTGCCACATATATACGATAAGAAAGGAACTTTCAGTGATTCTTACCACACTTGAATCTTCATCACATAAAAATGAATCTCAAATGAGAATTAGTCTGAAATAGAAGGAGAAAGACAATATCTGATATGTATATCTTTTATGATAAAACAAATCAGAATTCAGTCAACAACAACAAAATTGGCTACCTCATTCGCCAGAGCACTAGTGAGCCACGACGAGTGGTCTTGGTCTTCTTCTAGCAAGCAATCTTTGATCCTCATCCACAAAAATCTGATTGATTGATTGCTTAGCCCAAATGTTGAGCTTGGAGCTGGGTTTGGGTCTTCAAACTAATCTGATTGATTGCTTAACAGCCACTTTGCAGGCAGACTGGGCTGGCGTTGTCAGAAACCCAGATTAATTTGCTTGTACATTTTGGGCCCCATTTCACTAACGACAAAATAAAATAAAAATTGAAGCCTTTTTAACATATTCAAGCAAAGAATTAAATTAGAAAATTGGCAAAAAGATGGTTCAAATGTCAAGAGGTTTAATTGAATTCATCCGAAGACTAATCATAACTGAAATGAATAGTAAAAATTATGATAATGAAAAAGAAAAATGGCATAATTGTAAAATGATATTTAGTATAAATGTTTTCTTGTCACTTCTTCCATTCTTTATTCTGCTCATCGTAAGTGAAAGTTTTTGTTTTTGTTTTTTTTTAATAACAAGTGAGAGTTTATTAAAAAACAAACAAGTCTTTATAAATAAAATAAAACCCATCTTAAATTTATTTATTTTTCTCTTGGGTGTTAGAGTTGGGTGAATTAGCCCACTTAATGCGACCAAATTATGCAGCTTATCAATATAAATATAATCTAGTTATGAATGGGAGCCATTATCATGTATATGGACACGTGTCAAGTGTTAAGAATGATAATAAAAATACACTTTAAATTAAAGTGATGAGCAGAAGTGCTCTCTCTTTATATCCAAGAAGACACGTGTCAAGTGTTAAGAATGATAATAAAAATACACTTTAAATTAAAGTGATGAGCAGAAGTGCTCTCTCTTTATATCCAAGAAACAAAAATCTGCTACAATTAAGACTCAACTCAACTCTGCTACAATTAATACTATTTAAATTAGGAATCTCTGAGTGCCATATGAGTTTTATTGGTGTCCGAGTGGTTTCATTTAATTTAGCATGTCCTTGTTTCTTCTTTTTTCTCGTCTGGGGTGTTGGAGTTGGGTCAATTTTTTATTTGGGGGCAAATTTAGAGTTGGGTCAGTTGGCCCATTTAATACGACCAAACCAATGGTGCTGCTTAAGCTTATCCATATCCAGTCATGAATCACAATGCAGCATTAGCATTTTCATTCTATCCAATCCAAGTTCCAAAAAAAATAATATGATACGAATTCCAATCTCACGTGAGTTTCCAAAAGTGTATAAGGAATTTCTCAGTGCCATGCCATGCCCACGTGAGTGTTTATTGGCGTCCGAGTCGTTTCATTGGCCCTCAACTACAATTTGTATTTCTTTATTATTCCTCGGATACACACAATTGGAGAAAATTTAAATAGCCAAGTACCATTCCATTCCATGCGAACCTATGTCCAGAATTTTGTTTTGCGAATTTTTCATTGTTGCGCCATTGTTGGATTCACTTTAACATTCTGGTACACACAAAATATAGCAACAAAACAATCACCTCTTCACCACTAATTACCATCAATCTCATACATCTCCCAGAAGAACAGATACACTAAATTTTCCAATAACGGAACCATCTCCTTCAGAGATACACTAAATTTCTCAGGCATTGTTCTTACAACAAAACGGGAGAGGGGTGCCACTTAGTGAATAATTGCCCGAATATATAAAACTAAAATCCCAGGAAACAAGAACAATTAAGCTTACTGCAGACTTGAGAGAAAAAAATAATAAAAGGAGGAATTGTCAGGAATTCTTACCACACTTGAATCCTCACAAATATGAACCCCAAAAGGGAATTAGACTGAATTAGCAGGTGAAAAATGGCATTCAGGTTCACAGGAGTCAGGACTGGGCAATAGATGTGGTGTCTTTCATAGCAATTACATGTTACTTAGTACTGTACAATATCACCAAATATTATTAAATTAAAAGAGAAGATTTCAACACATTTTCAAAATTCTGGAGATGCCATGTGAATTTCAAATAGTTTTTAAATAGGGGATCGATCTCTCAGTGCCATGTGAGTTCTATTGATCGATCTCTCAGTATTGGAATTTTTTTTATAGACAAAATCGTATTTTGTCAACACGTCTGATTTTATTTCCTTCTTTCTTCTTGTGAAACTTCTGAGTTTATTTCATTGGCACTCAAGTGCAGAATATTTAATTAGCCACGGTAGCCATGTTTCGTGAGTTTAAATTTCATTAGCATTTAATTCCCCTCCTTTAATATCGCTTGAATTTATTTTATTTTATAATTTGGCACTGGCATTGCAATAATTCTGCATTTCCCATATAAGCAAAAGGAAATGAAGCTCAGGCTTGCTAAAAGTGAGAAGATGAAGATACCCATTTGCATGCTTCCACTAACGCTTATGCTTCTGGCTCTCTCTCACATCTCGTGCGTGGTAGCAGAAGAGAGAGAGCAGCAGATGAAAAAGACCTACATCATTCGCATGGACAAGTCCGAAATGCCTGCGAGTTTTGGCGACGACCATTTGCAATGGTATGGCTCATCTTTGAAATCGGTGTCCAAGTCAGCAGACGTGCTCTACACCTACAGAATCATAATTCACGGCTTCTCCACAAGGCTAACTGCTGAGGAAGCTGAGCTGCTTGAAAAACAATCAGGGATTGTTTCTGTTTTACCTGAGTTAAGATATGAACTTCACACAACTCGGACACCCGAGTTCCTTGGAATAACCTTTTCCAGAAACGAGGCCATCTTCCCGACATCAGATAAAATAAGCAGGGTGGTTATTGGCTTAATCGACACCGGTGTCTGGCCTGAGATCAAGAGCTACGATGATAAAGGTCTTGGCCCAGTGCCAAAGAGCTGGAAAGGGAAGTGCGAGGAAGGAACAAACTTCAACTTATCAAGTTGCAATAGAAAGCTAGTTGGGGCGAGATTTTTCCCGAAAGGATATGAAGCATCAGTGGGACAACCCATTGATGAAAGAGTAGAATCAACATCACCAAGAGATGATAGTGGCCATGGAACTCACACCACGACCACTGCAGCCGGGTCTGCAGTCCCAGGAGCTAGCCTATTTGGTTATGCTTTGGGGACAGCAAGGGGGATGGCTACACAAGCTCGAGTAGCCACATACAAGGCCTGCTGGTTTGGTGGGTGTTACTCCTCTGATATTATAGCCGCAATGGACAAGGCTGTTGAAGATGGCGTCAACATTTTATCTTTGTCCATAGGGGGTACACGGTACCATAATTATTACACAGACGCTATGGCCATCGGAGCTTCTCTGCCGTGGCCAAGGGAATCTTCGTGTCAGGTTCAGCTGGAAATGGGGGATAACCACCGTGGGTGCTGGAACACTAGACCGCGATTTCCCGGCTTATGTTAGCCTCGGAAATAGAAAAAAATATAGAGGTATATCAATCTATGCCGGACCATCACTATCTAGTGGATTACTTCCACTTGTTTATGCTGGTAAAGCAAGTAACTCCATAGATGGTGATGTATGCAGTCTTGACAGTTTGATTCCTGGAAAGGTTGCCGGGAAAATTGTGGTATGTGATAAAGGGATAACCTATAATGCTGAGAAGAGTGCGGTGGTTAAAAAGGCTGGTGGTGTAGGGATGATTTTGGCATATACTAAAGCTTATGGAGAAGAGGTTGTTGCCGACTCATATCTATTGCCTACTACAGTAGTGGTTGGCCAGAAAGCTGGTGATGCAATAAAACGATATATTGCCTCCCATGATAGTCCCCAGCTGTAGAGGACCAAATCTAATCTCTCCAACCGTACTCAAACCGGACCTAATAGCACCAGGAGTGAATATCCTAGCTGGGTGGTCTGGTGCAGTTCCACCATCTGGATTTTATGAAGACACCAGGAGGTTGAGCGTCAACATCATTTCAGGTACATCCATGTCATGCCCACATGTGAGTGGGCTAGCTGCCCTTCTCAAGGCGGCTCACCCAAAATGGAGCCCTGCAGCCGTTAAGTCTGCTCTCATGACCACATCCTATACCACATACAAAAATGGAAAACCACTCAAAGATATTGCTACAAGAAATGCTGCAACACCATTCGATTATGGTGCCGGGCATGTGGACCCAGTGGCAGCCCTTGACCCAGGCCTTGCTTATGATCTTGGTGTCGAGGACTACCTAAGCTTCCTTTGTGCCTTGAATTATACAACAGGAGATATCAAGATACTCACCCACATAGACTTCACCTGTGATTCAAGCAAGAATTACAGGGCTGGAGATCTAAATTATCCATCTTTTGCTGTTTCTCTAAACACAAGTTCAGGCAACAGGGGAGCAGGCACTAAAATATACACAAGGACTCTCAACAATGTGGGTACCCCAGGAACATACAAGGTATCTGTTTCTGCACTATCACCATTAGTGAAGATCTGGGTTCAACCAAAATGTAATACCCTCAAAAATAATATTTGGTTTTATTATTTTTGTGGAAAATATTATTAAGTCGTGTGACTATTTTGGATGTTGTATGATTTTGGTTTGGTGTGGAAATATTGGAATTAAGTGACTTAATCTCAATTTGGGACAAAATACCTTTATGATTAAGTTTATGATTTTACAAAGGAAGTACAAGAAATTGAAGCGAGAAAATTATGATTTTTGATTTGGAAAATCGAGATTGATCTCACGAACGCGTAGGCGCAAACGGTTCGCGAATCCGAGTTGAAATGAAGAAGTTATGCTCGATTGAAGTTTTAGGGACTTATAAATCTGCAGTGGTGGGTTCTCTTTTCAGTTTATTTTTGCTTTAGTTGTATCGCTTAATACATCAATTTTTTCTTTCCTGGAAAGATATGCTGAGAATTTTGTTTTGGATATCACCAGAGACTGAGGGATAATTTATTTATTAAATAAAAAATAAATAAATAAACTAACTAGTTACACAATCTTGCCACAATTGAAGCTTTGGAAGAGGTAAATCTGCCAAATGTTTATGGTAATAGCCAATAGCTTCTAACCTCATTTAGGCTAAACTCTCCAACAAAGCTATTTAATCACCAAAAAAGGCAAACCATGTTGATATATGGAGGGTGTTTACGAATACAATCTCCCTGGGTAAACAGTAGCTACTATAAGCCGCATGGTTACCCAGAACATAGACGAGAAACTCATCCATTATACTGGTCTTTCGCATTCCTTACAGGCAATCAGCTATCATGGCATCCATTTAGCACTTTTGGGGAAGGGTGGATTAGAGAGACTTACGATAACATTGTATAACTATAAAATCATAGAGCAGTCTACAATGCAAACATCATGAAATCGATCAAATTGAAATACCTTGAAGTTACAATGAGTTTAAAAAGTAAAATAAAACAAAACTCCCAAGTGTCATTCTAAATCGTCTACAGACTGACAAACAGGGAGGTAATAAGTATCAAGCTGCCAATACTTTTGTTTAACACCTTCCCAAACCTGTTCTCCTAAACAATCCTTAACAGGCAATGGAATGAACTGTGTAGAGTAACCCAAATTCTGAAGCTCTAGTGAAACCAAGTGACAGTACACAACATGGAAGAATGCATTACCTCCACAAAGGCCATTGAAGAATGAGTAGATTCCCCCAGGCTTCAACAACACAGGAAGATGCTGGTGGAACTCTCTCAAGTCTTCATAGTACTCTCCATAGGTGTCAAAGAAAATCCCTGGACAACAAACGAAAAACCCCAAAAATTTCAAATATTGTGACTGAAAAATTGAAAAAATTGAAGGCTTGAAGCTTAAACAGCAATTTGAATTGGTCCATTTCAATTTCACTTACCGTCATAAGATTGAAGTTGAGGTAGCACATCCTGCCAGCGCCCAAATATTATGTTCACATTGTCCTTCTGAGCCCAACCGGTTCGAACCATGCGCTCGTAAACCTCCGGGTGAGCTTCAACAATGGTGTGCGAAGCAGGGGAGTATTGTTGGATGGCCGTGTCCACGAGGCCCATCCCAAATCCAATGTTCAGTACATGCCCACCTCCTGAGCAAACAGCTTTCGCGTGTGCCTCCATTAATGGCTTCTCCCAAGCCATCATCACCGCCTTACTGTCTGAGTCCATCAGCTTGTCCTCGCTGAAGCTCACCCTGTCTTCCAAGTAATCTCCATTGCCATCCCCATTCTTATTCTCTTTCCTCGCAATCGTTCCCAGTACCAATTCAGATTGAATCCCTAATTAGCTCAAATTAATCAAACACTTTTCATTTTTCATTCATACAACTCCAAATTAGAACAACCTAGAGTAAATTTCTAGTTTCTATGTTAAGCACGTACCGGCATTGAGGAGGATTTCATAGGCATTTTCGTGGCCTGCGTCCATGGCGAAATCGCCGGCGGAGAGATTGGAAGGAGATAGGGCGTTCCATGGCGCGCCAGCTTCTAGAAGAGTCTTGACGGCATCTCCGTGGCCCAGCTTGGCCGCGTGCATCAGCGGGGTAAGGCCGTCGCCGTCGAAGTACGAAACGTCAGCTCCGGTTTCCATTAAAGTTTTCAGCTTTTCGGCGTCGCCGTTCCTCGCCGCCTCGCATAGTTGCTCGCCTTCCGCCATGTCTGTCTCAGTGTGCAGTGTCTGTCAAACCCTGGTCAAGGTTTATTAACGAAGGATTAATTGGACTTACCCCCACTAAGTTTTCTAAAATTATGATTTCTTCCCATGATAGCTATTCTATTTATATATTGACCACGTTATTTATTTATTTATTTATTTATTTTTGTGATTATCAATTAACTACTTCCTAATGTTCTAAAAAAATACACATTAACAATTATCTTATCCAATACACGAGAAAAACTTAGTTGTAACAGGGGTAACATTGTTTTGTTATTCTCGACCAATATTGTTATACCATATGAAAATATTATCATGCGTGTTATAGCGTTATTAACCAAGAATAACAAAATAATGCTATTTCCGTTTCATGGAAGTCTCTCCCAATACACACACACAACTGGAAGGACATTAGTAGCTAAAAGATTTCCTTTTTTGGCAGCAGTTGACCATTGTCAAAGAAATCAAATTTGTACTTTTCAAATGCAATTGACATTTTGATTGGACTACCACTCAACTATGTTACTATTTTTTTTTAATGTCACACACTTAGATACCTTAAATAAGGTGTTATCTATTCACGTGTTATAAAATGAATAAATAATGTATTTATATTATAAAGTGTAACATTAATAAATAAAAAAACACATTATAATGTATTGATGACAAGTGTGATGATTACATTAAATAATTTATCAAAACACAAAAAATCCATTGCAATAGAATGGAATGAAGCCAATTCAGTTAGCTATAATATTAGGTCACTAAATTTATTTACTAAATTTGTTCCTTAAAACATGTGTCGATCTATTACTTATTTTTTTAAAAATGAAGTTTCAATTTAAACAAAAAATTAGATTAAAAAAATGCCATCTTATAAAGTAAATAAAACAACATTAAATATTAAAAAGGTATTCATTATAAAGCAAGTTTTATTCATAAAAAAAATATGAGCACAAATAGTCCCAAAGAAGTCAAGAAGATTCATTCCTTAATCATGAGGTTGGGGGTTCGATCCTCGCCTATGGGAATGAAGCGCATTTTGTGGCCAGCCGTTTACCTTCATTGGGAGAGCTCCCGCGTCGAAAGGTATTAGTCACTACCAGAGCCGGCCTTGGGCAAGGGCCACCAGGGCTACAGCCCGGGGCCCACAGCTGAAGGGGGCCCAAATCTTTTTTTTAAACCTATGTATATATGTGTAAAAAAAAAAAAAAAAAAGAAAAAAAAAAAAGAAGGAAGTTGCCGATTGTACTTCTCAATGAAAAGGGAAGTCAATCAATCACAATCAGTCTCTATATACTCAATCTCAAGAAACGTAAAGAGTAAGAAAGTCCTTATTAATTGTACAATATAATATAAAATAAATAAACAAATTATGGAATAAATCAAAACAGACTTTTTCAGCTACAAAAAGAAGAAGGAAAAACCCTCAACCTTCTCAGTTCATAACCCAACGAAAGCAATTTTTTTTGGGTGATTCTCCTTTTCTTTGAACTGAAGCAATTTATTTGCCACAAAACAGACTTCTCAGTTCATAACCCAACGCAAGCATTTTTTTTGGGTGATTCTCCTCTTCTCTGAACTCAAGCAAATTTTTTTTTTTGGTGATTCTCCTCTTCTCCTCTTCTCCAAAATAAATCATCCACAAGCTAGACTAGTGCCTTTCTTTGAAGGTAATTTTTTATTTTTATTTTATATAGATACATATAGAATGTAGATGTATAAATTTTGTAAATTGTAATACATATCTTTGTTAACTTTTTCTTATTTATTATTTGATTCAATAGAAAACTTGGCTGGGATTCTTGTTCTTTATACTTGGAAGTTTCAAGTGGAAGAAAATAAGCTCAAAATCCAGGTTTTATTGTTCTTTGTTAATTAGTTTTATTGTTTTTTATTGTGTTGTGTTTATTATAAAAATTAAAAAATATTTCCTAAGAAACAACTTTCTGGAAATCTCAAGAGACAAAGAAAGAAAGAAGAAGAAGAAATTGCTCAAAGTTTAAGAGGATCTTTGAATAAATATTTTGTTAAACAAACCAATGCTTCACTTGAAAATTTAGATGAAGATTTACCAAATGAATATGAACAACCAATTCAATTGGAAGAATTAGTAGAAAATGAGAATGATGTGAATGAAGAAATTGGTGATCTTGATGAAAATGAAAATACTGATGAACCTTTCCTTGATGAAAATGAAAATATTGATGAACCTTGCCATGAAAATGAATGTCAAGAAACAAGATTTGATTTGAACATTTATGATCCACGAGTTT